AGTGTCAAGACGTGTCAGGCCTATAAAATGTATTTTTAAAGTTTCTATAGCAGATGCCCAAAAAGTGGTGTCCTGAGGAAAGAAGGAGGGGGGGGGGTCCAGCTAAAGCTTGACACAGGATCTGAGAAATCTGTCTGCTGTTCACTGAAGCAGTCTGTGGAAGAACGGCTGCAAAGAAGCCCTTCTTTGGGGAGGGAAACAGGGAGAAAAGGTCGGGCTAGGCCAAATGGCTCAAAAGTGGACTGAAATTAAGGTCTGACGGGGCGATTAATCCTCCCCAGAGTCTGGTCTTCAGCACCACTGCAGCAGCGTGAGATTATGACAGGGAGCGGAGCAAAAGGCAGCCCACATCCAAATAAAAGCTCTGGGATGTCCTTCAAGAAGCCTGGAGAGCTGTTCCTGAAGATTCCTTAAAGGAGAAGATCTTGACAAAGCGGGCTCAGACTGTTGGAGAACAAAGGGACTCTGACCACATACTGGCTTTAAAATTCGTTAGAACTGTATAAGCTTTATTTTTGCCCCAAATACTAATGAATTAACACCACTTTTTACTATCTTGTTCAGGGCAATTTTTTTGCATGGTGCTGTGTATAATCACTCTGTGATTACTGTAGTTCTTCAAGGTTTGTCCTGAAAGCAGATTGCAGGGAACCTCCACCCTGAGCTACTTAAAAAACCTCCTCTGTAGAGTATGCATGTCCTTAACAAGTTCACTTTCTTCCCCCTCTCCCGTCTCCCCACTCTTCCCGTTCCCCTTGTTAATTTTTTCGACCGGCCTGCCCGGCTCATTTCTGCACACCGTTATCTGTTTCCTTTCTGACCTCAGCCCAGCTGGGCCCAAAAGCCGCCCCACCCCGAGCTCCTGCTTAAGCACAGACACTCCTGTTTCTGAAAACCGGCAGCAAAGCCAGCAGACTCCAGCTGCCGGGGGGGGGGCGGCTTTTCAGAAACGCTGGAGTGGCTTTCATCACCGGACGCTCGCGGACCAACACAAAAACCACAAACACACATGCAGACTCCCCCCTTTTTTTTTTTCTCCACCCTCATTCGCCGACGTTCATGTTTACATCCTGCCATCAACCAGCCCAGCATCCATAGCAGTCTCAGGCAGCTTTGTCAGTTCACAGAAAGACTTTTAAGAGTCGTTTATTGACTCTGCCGAATTGTTTCAGACATGTGTGGAGCTTCACTGTAGATCATTGTGATCATGTTCTGAGGAGTAGTAGTGGAGTGCATTCTGGGCAGACGTAAGAGAAATGGCTAAAAATGCGCCTGCAATTTCGTCGTCTTGATATTTTACAAGCTCTACAACTCAGGGGATTCCTACTAAACAGCCGGCGCTGTCCTCGTGCATTCGGCCCTTTTGTACTCGCACTTACATAACAATGGACAGCCACCGATTTTTGTAGCTCCCAACTTAGTCCTTAAAGAGTATAATCTTACAGGGTGCTCATTTTTGGCGTCTGCTGGCGTTCTGGCCGGGTTGCAATGCCTGTCTTTGACCACTAGGCGTCTCTGTGCTCACGCCAGTCAGAGCTCGTGCAGGGAGACTCTGAACACTTCTCAAAGCGCCGGGGGGGGGGGGGGGGCTAAAACGCATTCCCATTCCTCACTTCCTCATCGCCACAGATTTAGGAGCCCCTTAGACTAATATCTGCCAGCCCCAAGTCTGTGAGGGATGGGGAAGAGTTCACAGGAGGGATTCTTGCCATCATTTTTCTTTCTAACTGTTCCTTACCTGCCGCAGCTGCATATGCGTTTTCCCTCTGTCTGTTGGCGTCACACCCTGCACACGGTGGTGTGCAGAGTTCAGAGTAAAGACGATCAGGATTTGGTTTCAAACTCCGCACAAATGGACACCGGTTGCAGGGTTTGCGTCACCGGACAGAGTCATGAAGTCTGACTGGAAGCTCAACATTTCTGACAGCTCTCTTAACAGTACAACAAACAGTGTGGGTCCTACTGAAAGAAAATCCTACATTTATACCGACGAATATTCATAAAAGTGGATATTGTGACAGACATTTCCCCAAGTCTAGATTTATTTCCTCTAAACAGGGTTCTGGGATTAAGAAACTCCAGATATATATGGATGTTCAACTATTTGTATTTGCAATAATGTACTGAAGAAACCACGATTTGCTCCAAACAAACGGTTATTCCAGAATTTTACACATGTGATATGTATGTAGGAGTAGTTCTCTGGAACAACTGACGGCGTCCAGTCGAGCCGGACGTTGCTGGCCGAGCGTTTAACTGAGAACAGACTGGCCAGACTGTGAGCTTCCACCCAAACTGCTGCTTCTTTTCCCCACCACCTCTCACTAACCAGTCTCCCCCTTCTCAAACCTCCCTGATCCTAAACCTTTATTTACAACCCCTCCCTCCCC